ACTTCTCACCGGCTCCCTACGAGCCTGAATGCAACACGACTTCTCACCGGCTCCCTACGAGCCTGAATGCAACACGACTTCTCACTGGCTCCCTATGATTTTGAACCTGCAGACAGAAAACGGACAGAAGGATGAATTTAAATTTAAAGGGCCAGATCTGAGAAAACTGAAGCACAAATGTCTGAACGACTGAGATCATTCATGTCTGACTCGTAGAACCACAAGTTTCAATGTGTACAATTAAAGCAAGCTTTTTTCACTTGGTAACTATTTGTTTTGTACATTACAACAATTATCTATAGAAAAGTACAAGAGCAAAAATATGCTGTCATTTTTGTAGAATTCAGCTGTAATGTCCATCTCTCCAGACCTATTTTTATCTTTCTAACATGAAGTGACACATCATTATAACACTAATAAACTAAAAATCAACATGAATTTACAACACAAACTGAAAGTAGTGCTCAGTCTTGGTCCTCGAGGGCTCTATCCTACCTGTATTAATTGTTTCCTGCTCTTTGGCATATCGTCACCTTCTGCAGACGCCTGTTAATCACTAATCCGTTCAAATAAGATGTGTCAAGGCAGATGAACATCTAGAAAAGGGGTCTGCAATCCACGGCTCTGGAGCCACATGCGGCTCGTTGGTCCCTCTGCAGCGGCTCTTTGAAGCTTTGACCAAAACTGACATGAAACTGAATTTTATTGGTCGTTACAACAACTAAAAGGGCTAGTTTTAGCGGTTTTCCTTTAGTTTATTTTGCAAATATATGAATACTAGAACCATTACAAGGAGTAAAACATACTCACTTTCACTTTATGCTTTATCTCTTTAAAGTAGGATACGTCATTTTTCTACAATTAAAAAAAATCACATAAGAATGCGTAGTTTATTGTTTTAGTTTTTAGAAACTGGGCAAAAACTATATTATTTTTTCCTTCCTTACAAGAATCTCGTCTTATATTTTGTCTTAGAGTGTAAAAATATCAATAAATGTTAAAAGTTATTAGATATTTTTATTTTTCAAAATCACCCCTACTGTCCAGAAGAGTGCCTTCCAACAAACTTAAAGTGGTCCGTGGGCCACCAGTTGAGAATCCCAGTTGTAGCAGGTATTGTGGCTCCGGACACGTTTAATGAACAAAGGGGCAGAAACGGCTCTTTGGATCGTAAATGTTGCAGACCCCTGGTTTAGAACTTGCAGGATAGTGACCCTTGAGGACCAGGACTGAGCACCACTGGATCTCTACAGTGTTCAAGTTTTGTCTCACGTTCCAACTTACAAATAAAAACATTGAAAAGTCACAATTATTTGTTTCAGAAGGCTGCTTTGATTTAAAACTGTCTTAAGTCTGACTGGAACCACTTTAATGCTGCTTACACCAAAAGTTCAACTTGTATTTAAAGGAACTTTACAAGAAATAACGTTTCTTCTTGCGCAGTTAAACTTGCAGCAGCTGTTTTTTACGCAGCAAACTGCTCCTCCTCAAACCAGCAGCTCATGAAGGCGTTTAAAACCGTAACAAATACAATACCCCGAGTTTTTGACGGATCATAAAAGTTAAAAATGACTGACTGGGGGGGGGGGACATCCTGCACAGCAAGCTCGAATCCATCGCTCATGAACGTTTAAAGGCGAGACTGCAGGAGCGGGGGTCACTTACAAACCGATTCCAGAATGCAAGTTAGTCCAACAAGTTTATAATCGTCAAGAAGAGGTTTTCTGATTTATGCCTTGAACTTGTCGATCCATCACTAACCGTGAGTTTAATGTAGATGAATATACCGTATTTTCCGCCGTACACGTCGCACTGCCATATAAGTCGCATCAGTCTAACAAAGAGAAAAAAATCCATAAATAAGTCGCATCTATTACGCGTCACCGCTGACAATCCAGAAATGTGGGCCGGTGTTGTGCCAAAAATCGATGGGCTGCCAAATGGCGGCCGCGGAAGCGTGCACGGGAGGACTTTAACAAGAATTTAACACTTAAAAACAATTTGTTTGCTCGAAATTACAGCAAAGGTGTGTCTCAGTCTAACTTTTCCTTAATAAATGCACTTTGACGGTCAAATCAGCTGCATTTCGAAAGGAGATACGCGGAAATAGGCGCATGCACGGGAGGACTCGCTGTGCATTTCTTCGAAATTTAACACACATTTAGCGGCCCCGATGAAATGAAGCTGATTTGACGGTTGCTCCAGGCGAGCTGGATGAAGGTGGCAGGGTATGGCAAGCCAATTGTGTCATTAATAGATGTTTTTATCTATTGCATGATACAACGGCATACCATACACCTCGAGTGCCATCTAGTGGCTGAAAATGGTAGTGTTCGATATTTTCAGTCAGATTGAATGAAAACGGTCATATCTCAGCCCAAAATTGGTTTATAAATATGGGAAAAAATCCATAAATAAGTCGCAGGGCATGCACATTATGCAAAAAAACACGACTTATAGGCCGAAAAATACGGTAGTCAATTGATCAAATATCTGAGCTCAGGGGGCGTTAACAAACTTTTAGTCTAACGCTGTTTTAACTGCTGTAAAAGGATTCCCTGCACTTTGTTTTAAAAAGGACAGCTAATTCCTGGCTGAAAATAACATTTAAATTGAATTATTTAATTGAAGCTTTTATCCAACTCATTCATTTAAGCAAATTACAAACGAGGAACACACCGGAGGCACTGCAAGGTTCAGGATGCTGAGGAGAGAAGCTGAAAATGTTCATTTTTATTTTAATTCTTAATTGCGAATAAAAAAGATCCTTACCAGAATGTTTTCCACTTTTGATTGAACAGATTTGCTGGGGAAATAAAAAAGACACAAAGTAGGAATTAGCATGAAGCTGGTGTAACGTGAGCGCTTGTTTCTGAAGAGTATTTATTTATAAAGCAGAGGAATGTTTGGTATGAGATGACTCCCCCTTCAGCATCTCTCAGGTCGTGTCTTCCTCCAACAGAGACGCACAACGTGGGTAAAATACAAAACTTTGTTTCATCACTCGGAGCCCAAAACTTCATTTACAGTCACTGAGAAAACCTGCTTACAAGACAGCAAATAGACGTAAATCGTTTTTACTTTCAGTCGACATGTTGATTAATATTTTATGAATACATAAATGGCATTCTTGAAGGAGTATGTGAACAACTCAGCTACCAACACACCTGACTTTAGTTCAATATGTGTCAAACTGAGTGAGTTAAAGCATTTTGGTGTTGGTTAATGTGGATTAACCGATGCAGCCATCCTAAATTGGATTGACTCCAAACGTTAATCAGCTCTAGATGTGCATCCAATCATTACTTTCCGAGAGTTTCTTTCAAACCCGTCCAGCGGTTCATGTGATATTTTGCTAACAGACAAACAGGGTTGATTTAACAGTTAAAGCTAAGGTTTTAATCAAAGATTTCATGCAACGAGTAGCAGTTTGAGTCATTCTGACTTCTCTACAAACACCTAATTATAACAAAATCTGTCTAATTGACTGAGTTATAGCCATTCTTGTGTTGTCCAAGGTCAAATGACTGTGGCGGCCGTCCTCAATTGGGCTGACACCGTTGCAGACGTACGTCCAACGATTGCTTTCTGCTAGTTTCGTTAAGGTTGGTCATTGTCTTCAAACGTGCACAATCTTTAGTGTTTCAACTCCTGCCAAGAAAAGCTCCTAAAATTAAAGTGAATGTGTAAAAATGGGGACAAAGCGGCTTCAGCGTAACTGAACGTGGTTAAATCAGATGCACGAGTGAGCGGTGCAGCGCTCCTCTGCAGGCCAAGACTTAACTGGACGACGTGGCTCAAGTCAGAACCAGACGACGAGAACGGCTCACTTTAATTCACTGTTACCAGGCGGGGGGAGGATTCTGGGGCTGTAAGCTCTTTGTGAGGTAGATCTGGCAGGTGAACTGAACGGCACCTGACGCAACAACCTGCAACAGTTCTGACCGAGAAATCAAAGAGCTGACGCAACTCGTCCTTCGAGCTCGCCGACGACGATCGCAGGCGTCTTTCGTTCAGTCGTTTCGAGGTTTGGAGTCCTGAAAAAAGGACTTGTTGACCGTCTCTGACATATGGATAAAAATAAACGTTTGACTCTTATTCAAACTTTACCTTTCTGAACCGGAGCGCCTTCGGTGGTCAACTCTGCACAGCGACGCGCTTCCGGTCGGATACGGTATTTCCTGCGGACGTTTGAACTCTTGGCCTGGTTCTGGTCGTTCGGCTGTTTGACATTTTGTAGCTGCTTGATATTTTAATGGAATCGCTCGGGTTAATCTACAAATAAAAGGTCAGAGCACGGCCTTAAATAACAGCAAACGCAGATTCTGTACACTATTATTAGTCAAAGTGTCTTAACCCTCACATTTTTCTGTTTTCTAAGACTTAATAAAAATAGCAGAAACAATCAGATTAAAATTGTTTTAATCTGACATAACACAGATCTAATTAAGGCCCAATTTAGGTTTATTTTAGTATACATTTACTTATACAGTAGTCCCTCTTTTATCGCGGGGATCTGTACCCTGAAGCACCGCGATAAGTGGAAAACCATGAAGTAGGAATAGTAGTACAAGTAGTAATTTTTTAGTATTTATATATAAAGGTGCTTTAAATCTTTCACGCACTCTTGCAATATTCTAAACAATGTTTCTAAACTCTAAAAGCTCTAAAAGAGCACAGAATGTCATGATATCAGCTCCCTGCCTCCTCTGCTCTTTGCCACCTGCAAGCGCTCTTGGCCACGCCCACTTCTCCTCTCTGCGCGGAGATCAGCTGATCAGCTGCAGCAGGAAGTTAATCCTGCAGTGTGGGCTGCACAAATGTGCAGCAGGTGCTAAACTAAAATTATTATTTTAAATAAAAATCTCATGCCGATCGTGCGGCTCATCCATCAATCAGCCAGTTGTGTGTCATGTCCAATCTTATTTTGAAAAACCGCGATAAACGAACCGCGAAGTAGCGAGAGACTACTGTGCATTAAACTTTCTGTCAGTCTTTTATTCTTTTGTAACCGACGCCAGTAAAACAGTCAGTTACGTGTCTGTCTGGTTTCAGCAAATCAAACAATGCAGAGAATATTTGTACTTTTAGATTAAAGAGACATAATTAAATTAAAGTGTAGCAGCGTTTTTATTTTGCGACAGTTTTGCTCAAAGCTCGGAGCAGAGCTGCAGAGTCAGCTGAGGCCGTGTTTCACTGGACGAGAGGTCGACTCAAAACTGCTGGGAAATAATTCTGATGTTTGCAATAAAGCAAAAGTCAAGGAAAAACATGTCTCAAGTTTATATTAAAAAATTGTTTGAACTTGAGATAGTACGATAGAAAAATCACAGCAAAAACTCACAAAAGAGTTTAATGATCAGCCTAAATGATTAGTGAGTAGAAACTTTAGAAAGTGAAATCACTTTGTAATATATTTTTCACTGTATAAGTTGCAGTTTTTTGCATAAATTAACATGCCTGCGACTTTTACAGCGAAGCGACGTATTTATGTTTATTTTCCCACATTTTAACCCAATTTTTGTCTGAGACCTGACGATTTCATTCACTCTGACATGGAAAATATTGAACACTAACATCTGAACCATATTGAACACACCTTTGCTGTAATTTCGAGCAAACAAATAATTGTTTTTCTTGTTAAATTTTGAAGAAATGCACAGCGAGTCCTCCTTCGGCGCGCGCCAGCAGCCGCAAATCGATTTTTGAAATACAGCTGATTTGACTAGTATAGTGCATTTATTAAGGAAAAGTTAGACTGAGACACACCTTTGCTATAACGTGGAGTAAACAAATAATTCAGCCATCGGTGACGCATAACAGATGTGACGTATACAGCAAAGCAACGTATTTATGTTTTTTCCACTTTATTAGACATATTTGGACTGAAGCGACGTGTACGGCAGAAAATACGGTACTGTTTTTGTTTCAGTTTTTATATATATATAATTTTCTTGCATATGCATTTTTATGATTGTCTACTGTTGTCATCATTTTTTGTTAAAACAGGTCTCTTGTAAATGAGTCCTCGAGGCTCAATGAGACTAACCTGCATAAATAAAGGTTGAATGGATATTTTTTACGTCTTTAACACTCAATCAGCAGCATTTAATATATTATATTAGGTTAGTACTTAAATAAAAACCAAAACGCTTCACTTCAGCCTTTTTAACAAACTCAACTGTGCTTTTATGAACTAAGTGAGACGTTAAAAACAAAAAATTTTAAAAATGTAGCTTTAGCTGAGGAGTCACCCACTGAATTTATAACAAGGCGTCTCAATAAACCTACAAACATCAACCACGAGGCTGATTTAACAATAAGAACGCTGATTTTTTTCTTAACCTTCTTTACCCAAGCAAAGGCCCGCGACCCACTGGAAAAGGGTTCATAACCCACTTTTGGGTTCCGGCCCAGCCCGCATCCTACCCTCCTCAGCATTTACGACTTTATCTACTTTTCAAATGCAGACCTGAAACTGATGCTTGAACCAGATTTTTTTTTTATTACTTCACTTTTATCATCATTTTTAAATATGGACATAAAACTCGCAGCTTTCTTGCTCAAGATGAGTTCGAGACGCCCGTGACGATTCTGTGACTATTTTCAAAGCAAATTTGTTGGACAAATTTTTCTGAACGTTCAAAGTTCAAGACAAGGTCGTCTGCAGCCCCATGCAAGGAAACGGGACGTTTGGAGACATTTTGGAGTCTCCCTCTCTAAAGTTGTTAACTGGACGCCCTGCGAGATACTGGTTTCAGGGTGGGATGAACCCTCTCTGGTCTGGGAACCCCAGAAGAGCTGGAGTGGCTGCAGAGGGAGACCTCCTGCTCCAGCTGGCTTGACAACCCGACCGTTAATAAGCAGAAAACGGATTGATGGATGTGTAATTCAAAACTGAAGGTCTGGCACTAAAACAAAAGATAAAAAACCTGCCTGCTATTTGGAAAACTGTTAATACGCACCATGAATTATACAGATTATAACATAATATGATGAGATCTGTTGAAAACCACTACAAAAAGTCACAATTTGTCCATACGATGCTGTTGGATTATTAAACCTTCTTGAGTGTACTGGAAACGTATCTACACAAAACTCACTTTGAAATGAAACGAAATGAAAACTGTTGGATTGTATACCTGGATTATTGAGCTTGGACTTTGTTCACTTTGAAATGCCTTCAGTGAAAATGTTCTGCACTTCTAGTTTAGGAACTTCGCAAATCAGAATATTTGTCATCTATACATCAAATGCAGGCTGTACCTATAACACTACACTACTGTGTAAAGTTGCATTAAAAGTATAGATTGGGTAATACTTAGAAGGGGAGATGGCAATAACTTTACAATAATAACAACCTGATAAAACAGAGACGTTACTGATTCAGCAACTAGCTCGTGCTGAAATCAGCTTTTATGTTAACCTCAGTAAATATATATTTTTAAAAAAATTGAAAGACTGTTGAATTAATGTTAAACATTGAGTAATTTTACTTATTATAAAAAAAAAAACACATTGATGTAGGATTTTAATCCTACATGTTTCCACCTACATGTGGAACAGTTTCCTACACGATCAACAAAGTCCACGCTCAATAATCCAGGTAGACAACAATTTTCAGTCAGGTCATCTGGACAGTTTCTTTTTTTTTTTTGTGCTGAAACGTTTCACCTTCCATCCAGAAGGCTTCATCAGTCAAGGAAACACAACTCAAAACTGATTCTTCCCCCAAACAGCTTACTCCAAAGTGGAACAAACCAGTTATGTTGTTGCTAAGATGGTCTCTTTGGCACGCCCCCTCGTCGACAGTCATGTCAAACTGGTTCAAAACCAGTGTGTGTTTCCTTGACTGATGAAGCCTTCTGGATGGAAGGTGAAATGTTTCAGCACAAGAAAGAAACTGTCCAGATGACCTGACTGAAAATTGTTGGGTTTCCTACACGATGTTTCCAAAAACAGAACGGGAGGAAGATGTTTCAGTTCTCAGGCTCCTCTCTTGTCCATGAGGCTGACGCATTGTCCAGTTTTAAGACTGGGATTAAGACTTTCCTTTTTGATAAATCCTATAATTAAGTTTGGCTTGTTATGCTGCTATAGTCTTACACTACTAGAGGTCAAATTGACCCAATTTCCTTTAATGAATTGTTAAAATTTAATAGTTTTCATTTGATATTATTTCTATCTTAACATGTGATTCCGACCTGCCATTGTGTATCTGTTCCTCTCAAAGCAGCCGGTCGAAGCAGATGGAGCTTGTCCTGAGCCTGGTTCTGTTCAAGGTTTCTTCCTCACCAGGGAGTTTTTCCTTTCCACTGTCGCCTTCATGCTCGCTCAAGACGAGAGTTAAACTCAAAGCAGTCTGCTCCTCAGACGAATAGTGTTAAATTATTATTTTTATATAAGAATGTTTCTGTTCAGTGCCCTGAGATGATTCTGTTGTGACTTGGTGCTGTAGAAATAAACTGAACTGAACTGATCCACAGTAAAGAGGGTTGAGCTGAATGCTCAGCACCTTAGTTTGTGTCAACGGGGTTTAATTTCCCTGCTGCTTTTTGTTGGAGCTCTGTCCCAGTTTAAAGTGCAGGCGGTTTAAAACTCCAACTGAAAGCAGAAAGAAGCAGCGTGGAGCCACAGAGTGTGAGCGCCTCACCAGATGGAGTTCCTGATCCTGAGCTGCAGCGCCCCGGCCTCAGCGCCCTGCAGCCCGGCCTGCAGCCCGGGCAGCAGGCCCCCCGCTCCGGGCTCCGGCTGCTGGGGATCCTCGTCGGCCATCGGGGGTGGGCTTCCGAGCTGGACTGAACTGCACCGGTGAAGCTAACCGGCATGGACCGGGCCAGCAACGCGCCCTGCCGCCGCTGTTGTTGTTGTTCCCACCCAGTCCTCCTCCTCCCCCCTCCGCATCGCTCGCTCCGGGTCCAGACGGACACCCGGTCGGTCAGTTCGGTCCGGAGGCGGCGGGGCGGCCGGACTACGAGCTGCCGGCAGCTACGGAGCGGAGCATGGGTCAAAATAAAAGCGGGTGTAAACAGCGGGGCTTGAAAAACAACCGGTTAGTCCCTGTGGTGCACTCTGCCCTGCACGTTGTGGGATTTCTCCGCACGCGCGCGATGAGTAGTGTAGCGGCTTCGGTTGTGCGCATGCGCACTGAGGCGTCCAGCATCAAAACAAGAAGCAAGCTGGAGTCCCAGACTGCCATAAAGGGACAGTTCATATTTATAACAAGTAAATTCATTATCTTTGTTAGGAATTATGGATTTTTATTTAATGAGCTTTGTTTCGTAATTGGCTTATGATCCACAACTAATAACTTATAACTCACAACTAATTATGTGAAAAAAGGGGCAGATAGAATAAGATTTTTTCTTCTTTCTGCTGCCTTTCATTTTAAATCTTGTATATTTTTTTATATTGTTATGAAATTGTTTTGTATTTTTTAAAATGAATAAACTTTATACCATACCATCCAAAAAGCTCAAGTTTTGCTGTTTTAACAATAAACATTTGGAAAATTTAGTTCTGTTCTGTTTTTCCTTCCAATTTATACCTACCACAGAAGATAAAAAACAAAAATCAATTAATAGCTTCATATGTTTCCTACTCAGTGAAATGTCTCTATAGATAGTTAGATTTTGTATGCTCATTCAACATGTTAAAAACACAAACTCAATTTTTTTCCGCAGACACCAGTGTTAAAAATCCTTGACAAGAACTGACCTTAAAACCCTTTTTTTAAATACCGGTAAGCTAAATTTCTCATCCTAAAATTGTATCGTATAAAACACATTGTTAAAACAAATGATGATAAAAACACAGTTTTTAACAATTAAAACAAAAAGTAGAAGTGCAGTGGAGAGCTCAAATCCTGAAGTTCCTGAGCCTCGCAGCCTCAGGGTAGAAGATGCTCCTCAGCCTGGTTTTAAGAGCTTTCAGGTTGGACAGCCTGAGGGGGAAGAGGACAGTTTGGGTGGGGTCCCTCATGATATTCCCTTTTCATTCAACCTTTATTTAGACAGGTTAATCCCATTGAGCCTCGGGGACTTATTTACAAGAGAGACCTGATTACAAGAGACCTGACCTGATCCCTGCTATGGTTCTACATTTGCTGGACCTTCCATCTGCACTCAGTGTTGTTGGAAATCAAACCAACATCTGCAGTAGTGTGTACAGGAGGGGGCTAAGTACACACCCTTGTGGTAGGTATAGTGATGGATGAGACAGTGGATACTGACTTTTATTGTAACCTGCCTGTCAAAAAGTCCAGGACCCAGTTGCACATCAATGGTTTTAACCCCTGCAGCTGCGGTTTGTGTCTGCAGAATGATAAAGTTAAAAGCAGAACTAAAAATCTTGAAAGAGCTGCTCAACATACGAATCCCGGCCCTCCAAGTGAGTGAGGGGTTAATGGGGTCGACGATGACGTCAACTGAGTAGGTCAAAACCTGTAGTTCAAAATACTTCATACCAATTATTCATTTCTAAACCTTTACTTTTGGAACCCATTTCCAAGAATATAATAAAATAATAAATTATTAGACCAAAGTAGAAAAGCAAAAAAGTGAGTTGTTTGAATCCTGAACAAGAATTAAATTAACAAAAGTGAAAAACTAAGAAATTAAATAAAAAGATTTTAAAAAATTACAAAATAAACAGGAATGTGTAAAATGTATGCAAATTGCGTACAAATGTTTAGAATGGCTTGATACAAATAAGAACTACAATTATCCAGTGACTAAGGGAAAAGGAGTGACTGCATTGTGATATAGTTGCACATGGACATATTTAGTAACTTATTTGAATAATGCCTAAACCATAATAAAAAAATAAAAAAATGAATTTAACAGAACATGCAGTCACCTTGAGCGGCGCAACTCAAGTATTCCTGCCACTACCAGAACTGTTTTTCCACAAACCATTTAAAATTTTACTGTTTTTGTTATAGATTTTGCTGTTTTGTTAACACTTTAATTATCAATTTTTTAAAAAAGCAAAGTGTATATAAAAAGGTACATAAAAACTTTATACAAAACAATATTATTATTTTTAAAAAACTACTAAACACCTATTTCCAAATTGAGATAAACGTAAACACAGTCTTAACATAAACAATTTTCGTTTTTGTTTGTGTAGATTTTGCAGTAATAACTTATTTAATCTGTAATAAAAAAGAAAAAAAATAAAGAAAAAACGAACTCCAGTGTCTTTTAAGGGCCACCGTACTGCGCGCGCGCCCGAACCCGCTGTTGCTAAGCAACCGGAACTGCGTTGCTTCTTTTCCGCTTGTAACGATGGCTGAAAGAAGTTTGAAGAAAAAGCTTCAGTCCGTCGTTTCGCAGGTGTGTACAGTTACATCTCATGTTTGGTGTCACGGAAGTTAAAACGGAACATTTCATTTTCCTATTCGACATTTAAACTTTGTGGAAAAGGTGTTAAAGATAAAAGTCTAAAGGTGAAAAGTTATTTTTTTGTTCTGCTCCGTTAGACCAAGACACGTCCGGGCTCTACGGGGAAGACAGAAAGGTCCAGGACAGGTGAGTCCAGACCGCAGGTGAAGTCTGCCTCTGGTCCAACAAAGAACCCCCCGGATGACCTTCTTGCTAAGGAAGAACACTATAAGTAAGACATTTTCATTGATTGGCTTTAATGCGTTTAAATTAAGATGAGTGCGTATTATCAGCTACAAATACAGAACATCGTATTTCTAACATGCAAAACTCTCAGAAACCTCCATTTTAAATTACAAATCTTGTTCCATATTTTCCGAACGGAGCACTTGGCTCCCAGACTGCAGGTTTACTTGTGGCTCCTAGAGTTTCAAAAGAGGCTTAAGACTTCCTTTTTTGATAAATCCTATAGTTAGGGTTGGCTCGGGTTCCCGGGGTTATCCCTTAGCTATTCTGCTATAAACTGTATAAATAAAGGTTGAATTAAAAAAATAAAAAAAACCTCAACCTGCTGAAGGACAAACTCACATTTCCTCACGCTGCTGCTGTCTTTAATGTATGACTCTAAATTGTCCTTAGGTGTGAGTGAAAGAGTGAATGGTTGTCTCATTTGTCTCTATGTGTCCCTGTGATGGACTGAAGACATGTCCAGGTGTCCCCCGCCTCTCGCCAGTGACTGCTGGGTATGGGCACCAGTGACCCCTGCGACCTGAAAAGGAAGAAGTGGGTAAAAGATGAAGGATGGATGAACGTATTTTTCTTCCCATAGAAACTACACCTGGGACAGTCTGTCCATGTCTCTTTCCTGTCCTCTCTAACTCCAGCTAGTCGAGGCAGAGGGCTGCCCATCGTGCGCCTGATTCTGCTGGAGGTTTCTTCCTGTTGAAAGGGGGTTGTTTCTTTCCACTGTCACCACTGTGTTGCTCAGAATGGGAGGCTGTGACGACGTTAAGATTTAACACAATCTGCTGGGTTGTTTGATCTTTTCTTCATAGAGCTGTTGCCCACAAATACAATTAAAAGAATGTGAAATAGTGGTGAACCTTCCCACTAAAATGACTCTAAGAGTACATTGACGACTCATCCAGGAGGTCACAAGGAACCCAGAAGATTATCTAAAGCCCTGCAGCCCTCATTGGCCTCAGTTAAGTTTAAGAGTTCATGATTCAGCAGTAAGAAAAAGGCTAAATGGCCTCCATGGAAGAGCAGAACGTACACAAAAGCCTGTCTCACATTCACCAGAAAACCTCTTGATGGTTGCCAAGACTTTTAGGAAAATATTCTGTGGGCTGGCTTTTTGGAACGTGTGTGTTCTGTTGCACTTTGCGCAGTTCATAACAAGTGCATCGCACTGACAGTAAAACACGGTGGAGGTACTGTGATGATCAGGGGCCGCTTCGCTGCTTCAAGCCGTGAGAGAACCATCAGTTCTGCTCTGCACCACCCGGAAAGAAAAGCTCATCAGTTCATGACCTTCAGGAAATCCAGGGGGCAATTACTTCTTTTTTTTTTGTTTTCAAACGACCATTTGAAAACTGCATTTTTGTATTTACTTGTGTAATCTTTGTCTTGTATTATTATTTGATGATATAAAACATGCGTGTCAAATAAAAAGAGAAGAAATTGATAAAGAAATCTATTTTCTGATTTACAGATACTGCATGCAATAATGTGCCAAAGTTAACAGCACTAAATATCGGTGGCAACTCCTATTTTTCCTACTTTTTTCAGAATACGGTGAATACATTTAATTTCTTGCTATCAGTTGACGCTTGTTATTAAAACAAATCTGTATTCTCTTCAGACTCTTAAATGCAGAGCTGGAAGCCAAAACAGCAGAACTAGTAAGACAAGCGGAGCAACTTATGGTACGTAATCAACATGTTAACGCGCACAGATCTGTCAGTAGAGTCAAAGGGAATGTTAAAGTGAACGCTAAGGCACAAACCAAAAGCTGAAACTGATTCTTTGGGCTTTCAGAGAGAACAAGGTGAAGTTCTGTCGAAGCCGTTATCCAAAGTTCTGCTCTCAGACAGTGAAGATGAAAACGTTTCCAGGTGATAAGTACAGAATATGAAACTCTGAGCTTGTGGAGGTGAAATCCTTCATGTCAGTGACTTTTTTATGATTCACTTCTTTGTTGTAAAAGCATAAGTTCACAGCTTTTTCAGATTTTTTTTGTTGTTAAAGCAACAAAACAAATCTGTCTTTAACTCTTATGTTTTTGTGTCCAACTGTTCAGCTGCAGAAAAAAAAAGTCTCAACAGAGTGCTGTGCGGGATCCCAGAGTTAAGGTTTGTATCCAATGTCTGTATTTTTGCTTGTTTCAATTTTTATTAATCAGCATTTGTTCCTGATCTTGACCTGCATTTAGTAAAATATTAAAAAGTTGTTTTTTATGGCCTTTTTTGTTGTTGTAGATGGTGACCAAACAGGTTTCCTCAACAACACAAAGTACGTCTGGTGGAAAACAAACAAGGATTCCTCACAAGACAACCGAGTGAGTTTATTTATTTATATCCAAATCTATTTTATTTAAGTTTATTAAGATTCTGTTAAAAAAAAAACTCAAACTTCTCATTTTGTTTGCTTCATTACAGAAACTCCGAGAAGTCCCGTTCCAATGACGTTGCAGTTTCAGAGGTCGAGGCAGAGTTTTTCCTGGCGAAGACGATTCAGAGCATGGAGGACATGAACGAGCCTGTTGTCCAGGACAACGTTGTGGGAGACATGTCCACAGCAGAAGACAATATTGGATCAGGTAATGCTTGTACAGCTTTAAAGGAAACATAAACCTAATGTTTAATAATTAAAAATAATCTGTTCATACTAGGTGTGGCAGACTGAGGAAATATATCTTCTTGGGATTTTATGTCAGATGTTGTGCTCTTCTTCTCAGGTGTTTCTGATGCTCAGCTGCGGGTTCTCAACGCAAAGCTTCGAATTATGCAAGAAGAACTTGATCAAGTTTCATCTGAATATTACAAGAGGGTATTGTAAAATTCTTAATAAGATGGATACTGTATCGATCCTGAAGGAAATTATGTGGCGATCTGTAGCTCCCTTTCATGCAAACAATAAGATTAAGACCCAATAAAAGTCATTTAAAGTGGTAGAGGTTGTCCAGTCTGAATGTTTCTGTGGGCGATATCGAAAGTTTATTAAAACCGATGAGCAATACAATTATTTTTGTGATTTTTGGCTAATATTTATTTTTAATTTTAGGCCACGGGAGCTCAGAGGTCTTGTAATTTTGAAGCTTCAGGTTCCAATCTAAGGTTGTGTCAGAAATATTATCTGGTGTAAATTAATTAAAAAAATCTTTCACGAGTCGCTCGCTGTGGTGAGCCCTGCAGAAGGAAGCAGCCGAAAGAAACAACAGCAGCACGTATTCTCATAATTGCTTAAAGAAACTTTTTTTTAAACAATTGATTAATTTAAAAAGCAGCTTAAGACACTTTTATTCAGACAAGCTTTTAGTTAAATGTTTCATTTACTGTTTTTATCAGCTGTTCTTACTGTTTTTATTAATGTGCTGTTATTGTTTTTTATTTCAAGCCCATATTTTTTTTATTTTTGTAAAGCGCTTTGTGATTGTATCTATAAATAAAGTTTACTTACTTACAGTCTAACTGTGGGGTACAGTAAGCTGGATGCTTGTGCTGCATCTTCATTTTACAACTTATTAATTGATTAAATGCGCAGACGTGACTGCTTGTTGATGTTTAATGAACGATATCAGTTGATTAAATTTGCTTTGTCTATTCAGAGGTAATCTAATCTGACTAGTTAATAACATTTTTAAAACTAACTCCGAGGCCTACAGTGCACCAAGTTTTAAATCTGTTACTGAATTACCATTTTATAATTATGTTTTTAATCTCATTAAATTTAAATACAGTGGAGACTTGTTTAATAAATGTATATTTTGTTTCAGGATGATGAAAACATAAAGCTCAGTGGAAAAATAAAGGAGCTGGAAGAGGATCGAGCCCGACTGCAGAGGACCACAAACATCCAGCAAACGCAGATAGAGAAGCACAAAGCTTTAGCTGAGGGGTCAGCTAAAAAGTGTGACGGACTTCAGCTGAAAGTTTGTGCTTTACAAAAGGTTTGTGCCAGTGACCACTGAGGTGGGACCAGGTTTAACATAAAACCAACAAGCCTGACCATAAACACCCGACGACAACCTTCATTCTTCTTTTACGCTCATCCAATCTGATTTCATTCTTTCTGTGCAGGAAATTGAAAACATGAATAGATCCCAAAAACAGGCAGCAGCTGTCCACAGCACCGCGGAGGTCCGCCTGAACAGAGCTCTGGAGGAAGTGGAGAGGTTCAAGTCCCAACTGGACAACACAAAACAGAAGAACAAGGTAAAAAGACCGAGCAGATGTTCGCCGTCTTCAAATGTGTCACAAAGAAAAAAAAACATAAATCCAAGTCTTCACGATGTGTTTTAAATAACTAATCAGAAAATCTAAAATTCATCCTCGGTAAAGATCGGAGACCAGTTTTTATTAGGATTTGAATTAATGGGACTCACTTGTTTTAGAAAATGCTGTTTTACAAAAATATACCGGTAATTAAAAATACTATTTTATGTACTTGCTAAACTTTCAGATTTTATGCCTCCCATAAAAAAAAAAAAACTACTAAATTGTTATAATAAACAGCTTTATTTTATTCCAGATCAAAAAGGAACCGACACTTTTAATAAAAACAAGATTCTGCTCAACTTTCATCTGTTTTTATTTATAACTTCTGTTCACAAAGGACAAGATAAGTGAAGAGCTCCAAAGTAAAGAAAATCTACTCGCCGAGAACAAAATGCTCAAGAAACAAAACGTGGAGCTCCTCGTGGGTTTCAAGAAACAACTCAAGCTGATCGACATTCTCAAAAGACAAAAGGTAAGCGCCTTCGTTTGACTCTAATGATCCTTGTTGTGCTTTTAAACTAAAACCAGAACTTTTTGTGCAGATGCACTTTGAAGCTGCCAAGCTGCTGTCCTTCACAGAAGAAGAGTTCATGAAGGCTCTTGACTGGGGAGCGTCATGAACTCAGACTCGTGCGCCTTCTCTTGTTCTGCAGGAAACATAACTTCATAAAGTCAGACAGCTTCTCTGAAGGTTGTCTCACTTGTACGAATCTAATTGTTTAAATGAGCACGATGCGCAAATAAAAACGCGTTTTAGATTTTTTTTGTTTCTGTTATTTTTGACAAAGAACCCACTTGCTATTAAGAAAGAATAAAAAAACAGTGCAGATTACCTTAACCTTAAACTGCCCTCTGGTGGCGGACTGGAGGAGGAACGTTTAATCATCTTCATCTGAGGAGACATCAGCCGGGCGTGGCTGAAAATGTTTTCTGAAATCATCATCAAAGTGTTGCAGGTCGCCTTCACGAAGCAAGCCCTGGAAGACACGCAGCCATGTTTCACTGATCCGTTCACGGCGTGAAGCTGTAAGACGCTCAGGGTTCACACCGAGCCGCGTACCTTTGGAAAGTATCCGAAGAGTTTGGTTGCGTGACTCTTCAGAAGTTTCTGCCTCTCTTCTTCGATTATCTGCCGACGCAGCGCCTCGCTCTTCTGCTGAACCGCTCTTTCTTTAGCTTCCAGGTCCTTGAAGACGGACAGATCTTTAAAATAAATATTTACTGAAACTGACACTACCATCAAAGATTTATCTATGACAGGGGTCTGCAACCTTTACAATCAAAAAAGCCATTTTTGCACGTTCGTTCACTAAACTAAACGTGTCCAGAGCCCAACTGTGGTTCTCAACTGGTGGCCCGTGGGCCGCCTTAGGCTCGTTGGAGGGGGTTTTGTGGCCAGTAGGGGCCACACATAAAGCTAAAAATATATAATGATTTTTAACATTCAGTGATATTTTTACCAATTATTAAAAATAAATAAATGAACTATGCAGACCTGTGATTTTTGTTTTTATTGTGGACAAAATAAAGTATAGAAATAAAACATAAAGTTAAAGTGAGTATGTTTTACTTCTTGTAATCTAGTATTCACATATTTGCAAAAGAAATGACCAAAGGGGAAAAAAAACCTGAAATCTGAAAACTGTTGATATAACTTTTAGTTGTTCTTATAACGACCAATAAAATTCAGTTTTGCGTCAGTTTTGGTCAAAGCTTGAAAGAGCCGCTGCAGAGGGACCAAAGAGCCGCAGGTTGCAGACCCCTGATCGAGGCAGAAAGGAAGTTTAGTTTTTACCCTCTGAGCCTCGCGCTGCCGTCTTCTGTCCTCTATCAGTTTCTCCACCTCACGTCTGTGTTCCAGCTGCTTCATCCGACGTCTTTGGGCGTTCATCTGCTCAATCCGATCATCCTCTGCAAACTTGTCCATCATCTTTTGCCTGAAGGCCTCCTCTTCCTCCCTCTCCTCCTGCCTCCGCTTCTCTTTAAAAGCCATTTGCTCCTGGAAGGTCTGCTGCAGCATCAGTCTTTGTCGGATTTGCTTTTCCATCTCCTCCTGTCAGATTACATCAAAAACAAACACAAACGTGATCTACAAAGAAAATTTGAGCCTCACATGGTGCAGACATTTGCATGAGTCTTATTTTACAAGCTGCTGAACTGCAGCGATTATGGGAGACAATCTCAGTTTAACATGAACGTTTCCAACTTGTTGCGCAACAGAATTACATCCATTGATGTGTCAAAATAATCAAAGTACAACCTGAGGTGTGTTAACTCTGTTAATTACATCAAACGTGTGCATTAAGACAAAAATCAAAAATATCCAGATTTTTGCTTTTTACCGTGTGATGGTTTGTTTTAAAATGTTTTGATTCAGACAGTGACACCAGTAAAATATGCAGATGTTTCACATTATTTCCAGTGTTGATAAAATATGACAACTATACATGTAAAAATATTGTAGGTCCTGAATTTATTCTGGATCAGAATGCAAACTTTACTAAATGGTTGTAAATGAACCCACCTGCCTGAAGACCGCCAGCATCATCCCAATCCCTAAAAGCTCTACAGTTACTGGTCTGAATGACTACTGGCCAGTAGCCCTCACTCTGATAGTCGCTAAATGTTTTGAAAGACTGGTCATGACCCACATCAAAGCTACCATCAACGAGGAACCACACCAGTATATTTACAGCGAGAGTGGATCAACAGAGGACGCCATCTCCTCTGTGGTCCATACTGCTCTCACCCACCTGGAGCAGAAGGACTCCTGCGTCCGTATGCTCTTTGTGGACTTCACATCCACCTTCAACACCATGATTCTCCAGACCCTGATGGATAAACTACTCACATTAGGACTAAGTCCCTCCCTATGCAACTGGGTCCTGGACTTCTTAACCAACAGACTGCAGTTTGTGAGGATCAACACCTTCTCCTCCTCCACCATAACCTTCCACATTGACTCCCCTCAGGGATGTGTGCTGAGCCCCCTCTTGTTCACTCTGCTCACGTATGACTGTGCAGCTACCCATCCGGGCTGTCACATTGTAAAGTTTGCAGATGATACAGTGGTAGTTGGATGCATCACAAACAATGATGAGTCCAGCTACAGGCAGGAGGTGGAACACCTGGAGAGCAGGTGCAGGAAGAACATCCTTCACATCAGTGTGAAGAAAACGAAGGAGATGGTCGTGGATTTCAAAGGAGGATCTGCAGTGGAAGTGGTCTCCAGCTACAAGTACTTGGGTGTGCACATGAACGACATCCTCAGCTGGAGCAACACCACCACCAGCCTGATCAAGAAAGCTCATCAGAGACTCTACTTCCTCAGACGGCTGAGACGAGCTGGTCTGGGAAGCTCAGTCCTCACCTCCTTCTACAGGTGAGAGCATCCTGTGCTCGAGCATCAACGTGTGGCATGGAGGCTGCACAGCTGCAGAAAGAAAAGCTTTGCAGAGAGTGGTGAAGGCTGCACAGAAATCTGTCGGACTCAGTCTCCCCACCATCACAGACATCTACACCTCCAGATGCAGGAAGAGGGCCACCTGCATCATGAAGGACCACACTCACCCAGCACACACACTTTTTCCCCCACTCCCCTCAGGAAGGAGGTTGAGGAGCATTAAGTGTAGAACCACTAGACTGAGGAACAGCTTCTACCCTGAGGCTGTTAGACTCATGAATCTAACCAGAATAATCACTGTAATGCTACTTGAAATGGTGATATGTGACTTTATCTGTGCTGCTGATTATCCATGCTGCTGATTGTTTCATGCTGTTGTCCATCTGCTCACAACAGACTCATGCTCAGGCTGCTGTTTAATATACTGTATTATTTTACATTATTATTGTTTAGTGTATATCTTAGATCCTTGTATACTGTTTCTTTTTATACTCTATATTTTTGATATTTTGGGTGTAACTGGGACCCTGTGTACACAGTTTCGTTCCACCTCATGTACCACATGTGATGTGAATGACAATAAAGAACCTTACAATTTCTCTCTGCCTGTTGGCCTCCTCCTCCTCCTCCAAAGACAGCTCCTCTCGGATCCGCTCCATCTCTTCACGCTGCTGCCGCTCCTCTTCCATCTTTTCACACAGCTGGAGGAGAAAAAGGTCGAGTGTTTTCAATAAATCATATCCTAATAATGTAAACGCCGACCGGACAATAAGTTGGAGAACACGGTTCTCTACCATTTTATGAAGATGTTCCTTGACTTCTTCCCTCTCTCTAATCTTCTTCATTCTGGTCTCCTCCATGTGCTGCTGTTGCTCTGTGAACTCCATGATCCTTCTGTTCTCTGCCTCCACCTTCTCCTGCTCCATGCGCCTCCACTCTGCCTGCTGCCTTTTAAACTCTTCGATGTGCTGCTGAGTGGCTCTGGCCTTTTCCAGCTTCAGCTCTCTCTCCCTGTTTGGGAAACATTTCATTTCCATAAATCAGTCGTGTAATTTCTACAGATTGTGTGACTTCATGTTTGAACTGTGTCTTTGAACTCAGCAGGAACATCCATTATTGTTAGGAATTGCATTGTCTGTAATGACTCACGTCTGTTCCTCTTCATAAATCTTCCTGATGATCTCGTCCACCAGTAGCTTCTCTCTGAGGAACTCCTCGTAGGCCTCCTGTCTCCTGAGCTCCCTGTCCATGAGCTGCTGCTCCAGCTGTCTCTGATGCTCCAGCAGCTCCTCGCGATGCTTCTGCTCCAGCCTCTGCTGCTCCGCGGCCGCCCGCTCATTTTCACTCTTCATCTTTTGAGCAAAGTTCGCCTCTTCACGCTGACATTTCACAGGAAACAGACAGGAAGCAGCTGATGAACTTTACAACTTTCGTTACTTGGGACTCCTGTTTAAGATTTAAATCTGTCGGAGAATTATATGAGCAGTAATATGTTGGTAGCCTTGATTATGAATGTGTATTTACTCTGTTTTCTGTCGCCGTAATACAAACAACATGAAACTATTTTAGGTAAATTGTTTTAAAGCGTCTCAGTTTCACAACCAAATAAAAAAAACTGAAAACATTTTTAAAGCTTGAAGCAATGAGAGAAGCGCTCACCTGGGTCTCCAACATTAAAACGTCCTTCTCGGCAATCTGGGCTGCTCTGTCCTTGTTCAGATACGCAGCCTTCAGTTTGGATTCCAGTTCTCGAAGCTCCAAGCTGAACGTTACAGAAAAACGTTTACCAATCTAAAAACATCTGGACTTGGGTTAAGCAGTAATCAGTGTGTACCTGTTGGCTCTGATATACTGCCGGAGTTTCTCGTCTTTTTGCTTCTCATAGTTGATGCGGGCCAGCTCCTTGGCCATTCTCTCCTCTTGTTCAAGCTGCTTTTCTCTGTTTATTCTCTCCTCCTCTGCCTGCAAGGCAGATTAACATTTTATATGCATCTTACTTTAGCTAAAACTCAACTGATGCAAGTTTGACAATACGATGCATAAAACAGTTCCTTGAATTTCACCTGATAAAAGCCTATAATTACCAAACCAGTCCAGCCACAGTTCACCTACCTGAAGCTGTGCACAGTACATAAGTATGAAACATTTGCCATATGTGAAACCATAAACCACATCTTCTGTGTGTATTAACCAGGAATAAACTTTTTTAGTTCTACAGTAAATAAGATTTTGGCAGAGTGAATTTATTTATATTTTGCTTCCAAGAAGTCAGACATTCTTATAATCTTTTAGAGTGGTCTTCATGCTCCTCCATCACGGTGTGGTACGCCGGGGCCACTGCCAGGGACAGACTCAGACTGCAGCGCGTTGTGCGCTCAGCTGAGAAGGTGATCGGCTGCAGCCTTCCATCCCTCCACGACCTGTACGTCTCCAGGACTGTGAGGCGAGCAGGTCGGATCACAGCTCACCCTGCACACGGACTGTTTGAACCACTCCCCTCAGGCAGGAGGCTTCGGTCCATTCGGACCAGAACCTCCTGCCGTAAGAACAGTTTCTTCCCCTCTGCTGTTGGACTCCTGAACACTCATAATGTTACCTCATAACTTCTGCTTTGGTCACATTACATCTGTATTATAACTGAATACTCCATCTGTACTGTTCTCTAAGCTTTTTTATTGTTTTCTATTGTATGGGTGTACATATGGTTATGTTATTTTTTTTATTTTACTTTATTTGTGGGTGTACACAGGCTTATGTCTTATGTAATGGTCTCATTTTTACTTTATTTTTACTTTATTTTACTTTATTACTATTCGCACCTTATGTCGAAGCAAATTCCTAATTTGTGAACCTCGTTCATTGACAGGGCGATAATAAACTGATTCTGATTCTGATGGATAATTCTCCAGACTTTATGAACTTTGAAGGTTTATCTTTGGATTTCGGCTGTTATGGCTCATTCTGAACCCAGTGCTCGTCTGTGGCAGCACATTGTGCTTAAAAAAGGAAGGAGGTGAACAAGTGATAGACAAATAAACAAGTGTCTGACCTAAAAATATACATCTTCAACAACTGAACCGTATATCTTTAAACTACCATTTTATGAGGCAACCTGTTAAATTCGCTGCCTTCCCGTAGATTTAACTAAACAAGAACAAATTTCATCTAAACGATAATAAGGTTCCTTGCAAAGTTGTCGGTTATTATGAAACATACAAACCCATGATAATCCCTTGAGTTTAAGAGACCTTTTATGCCTGGGTAATCTGAATCTTTGTAAATTACTTATAAAAAAAAAATAATCTGACATAATAACTGGAGTGTAAATTGTAAAAGTAACACTTAAAAAAAAAAAATCTTCATAAAGCCTGAAGAGCTTTTGCTAAAAATAAATAAATAACTTTAAAAACATTAGTGAATATTATTATTTATAGTGAATGGGACTTCAGGGAACATGTAGCAGGACGTTGTATTCGAGAATGAGCAACTTAAAGATATTTTAAAGACAGACCTTTTGTAGAAAGACCTCCGTCTGCCTCTCCTGGAGCTCCTGCTGCACCTGCCGCTGATGTCTCCTCCTCTCCGCGCTCTCCTCCTCCCGGAGACCCGCCAGCAGCTGCCGCTCCTTCTCCACGCGCATGGCGCCTTCTTGTCTGCGCATCTCCTGGGTCTGTCGCTGGGCCGTCAACCGCTGCTGTTCTCTGCACATCCAGCTCCGATTCTGACCCGAATGAAGAGCAAACAAACGCCAAACAAGATCAAAGTGACCGCCCCGAGAGCGTAGCAGCAGCTAGCAGGAAAAGTGAAGCTAAACCGGTCCGGTTGGGATTTACCATGTTTGAAGTCCTTTTCGTCGATTCACGCACTCTTCATTTAAATCCTTTTAACCGTATTAAACAGTTATTAAGAAAAATAAAACCGAATTCACTTGTTTATAACTAATTTTAACCAACGGTCGTCGAACGGGATGCTAACCCTCCTCGAACAACTTGCTTGGCGTTCCGTTGCCTAGGAGACGGCGCGGTCTTGGAGCCTTGGCTGGAAAATTACGTCATATCCGGGGAAATCAAAACACTTTTCCGTGTTAGCCGACATATTAAAGTTTTCTCATATATATATAT